AACCTCCTGAGATGGATTTCTAGCTATCTTTGTTCTAGGTCTCAAAGAGTCCTCTTCAAAAACTCCCTCTCTTTACCAGTAAAGGTTTCTTCGGGAGTACCACAGGGCAGCCATCTGGCCCCTTACTCTTCACACTCTTTTTAATGACTTGCCTTCAGTATTAACATACTCTCGAGTACTTATGTATGCGGATGATGTTAAACTCTGTGTCCAGTACAAGGACATTTCATTTCATTCTCGCTTGCAATCCGATCTCAATAACTTTCAGTCATGGTGTTGTGCAAACTTGTTACACCTTAATGCCTCGAAATGCAAAGTTATGACATTTCTTCGTTCTAGCCCCTTGTTGGCTCCGTATTTGGTGGTTCTCTTGAGAGAATTACCCTGTTGGATGATCTATGTGTTATGTTAGACCCCAAGTTAAATTTTTCTGAACACATTCCTACCATGGTAAATGAGGCCATGGGTTTATAAAGAGGTGGTCAAAGGAATTTGACGACCCCTATATAACAAAGACTCTCCATACCTCGCTTGTTCGTCCGATCTGAGAATACGGCTCCTGTGTATGGTGCCCTCAGTACAAAGTACACCAGGACCGTATAGAATCAGTACAGAAAAACTTTTTACTCTTTGCTCTGCGGGGCCTTAACTAGGACTAGTAGACTACTATTAGTTAACCTCCCATCCTTAGTTAACCGTAGAAAAATGCTTGGTGTGATATTTATGCACAACTTGATCAGGGGTGACATAGACAGCCCTGATCTGTTGAGCATAAACTTCACGATTCCTATTAGACTGACTAGAAGTTTTATACCGTTGTTCCTTCCACTTTTTAGATCGAATTATTCCTTGCATGAACCGTTTAGGGTCTTATGCACGGATTATAATTCCCTCTACCATATTATATCCAACACTAATTCTCTTCCTCTTATTAAATTATTAATCCCTACACACCTTTCTATTAATTAGTAACTGTAGTGGTATTTGTATTTTGATTGCATGCTTAGTTTCTTAGTAAGTTTAGTGCTAATTTTCCTCGAATGTTAGTCTAATAGCTATCTTTCTTGCATGTTCGCGTTTGGTTCGGCTACGCACCGCGCGTCATGCGGCAGCGCCCCTCGGTCGGTTGGGCGGGAGGAGAGCTGCGTTTTGCCTGGGATCCGCGCGTAACAGCCTTCTGCTGATGTCACACGGGCCACTTGATGGTGCAGTAACTGCCTCTTGAAAGATGCAGTCATTTCATGTCAACGTCCAAATATAGGCACTCTCGGCGGTGCTTGTCGACATCTCTGACCCCCGTAGTAATTCTTAGTTCGACATTGTCCCGTAAGTGCTATCCGGCGATTGCCTAGGCACTCTCGGCGATGCTTGTCGATATACCCGACCCTCGTAGTAATTCTTAGGCCGGCGGGGTCCCGTAAGTACTGTCCGGCGATAGCCTAGGTACTCTCGGCGAAACCTGTCGGTATTATCACATAGTAAAGACCTCCTTGTTGACTCTGAGTTCGGTGGGGTCCTGAAGGCGCTATTCGGCGATAGCCTGAGTGCTCTCGGTGAAACCGACTGCCACGTCCCACGCTACGATCGCTCCCGTCCGCGGGACTGCCGCCCCGTCCCCATCGTCGGTCCGAAATACGGAGTCCCGGCAAATTATTAATATTACTGTAATTTCGACCCTGGAGTAGACTGAGATATGTACCCCAGCCCAGGATCGCTTCCTTACAGATGGCGCCCGAGCAGGGACTCCGGGATTCCGTTATGTTTTGGGGCGCTAAGTGGAACAGTCGATCAGAAAAACGAGTAGCAGGGGGAATCGGGACTGTACCATGCGCAAGCACGGCCAGTCGGAATCATTAGGGCAAGAATAGCTGTATATCCCTGTAAAACCGCACGTGAGGATGCAGTAAAACCGCACTGATGCCAGTGATTTCGGAGTAGGAGCTGTGTTAACGCAACGATGTGATAATGGGGAAGAAAGGCCTATAGCGCATATTAGTAAGAAATTGAATACCGCATAAAGAAACTACAGTGTAACGGAACGGGAGTGTCTCGCTGCATTGCTGGTAAGTGAAAAGTTTAGATGTTATCTGGATCTTCAGAGCTTTGAAGTGATTACGGATCATGCTAGCCTGATATGGCTAATGAGACAAGCGAACTTGAAAGGTAGACTTGCTAGATGGGCGATGCAATTGTAAGGGTATAGAGGCTATAAGCCATCGGAAAGGAAAGGATCACGTCGTACCAGATGCATTGTCACGATTGTATGGAAATGAAGTGTCGGTAGTGGAAGGCATAGGACCGCTAATCGATTTGAACGCAGAGAATTTTAAGGAGACATAGTATCTATCGCTACAAGCTCGTGTATCCGGAGATCACTGTAAATACCCAGACTTGAGAGTTGAAGGTGGATTTTTTTTATCTACGTATGAACCATGACGAAGGAACTGAAGGTATAGAAGATCCTATATGGAAACTTTGGATACCGCAGAGTCTGGCCAAGGAGGTAATCTCAAGGGCTCATGTTTGTGTAGTAGCAGCTCATGGAGGGATGGGAAAAACTGTGGAATTGGTTAGGAGACAATTTTATTGGCCAGGAATGATTCAACAAATTCGAGAATATGTTCGGAACTGTGAGGTGTGCAAAACAACAAAAGCACCCAACATCATTTTACGACCACCGATGGGGAAGCAGGCAGAATCTTCCAGACCATTTCAGAGACTCTATATAGATTTGTTAGGACCATATCCCAGAAGCAAAAGTGGATTTATCGGCTTACTTATAGTATTGGATCACTTTTCAAAGTTCCACTGGCTATGTCCATTACGAAAATTTACCACGGCTAGTGTTATTTCGTACCTGCAAAAAGATATTTTCTTTGCATATGGCGTACTGGAAATCATCATAAGTGACAATGGAGCTCAATTCAGAGCAAAAGAGTTCGAAAGTTTCTTGAAATCGTTACAGATCAAACATATGCTGACAGCTATTTATTCTCCCAAAGCAAACGCTTCTGAGCGAGTAAATCGGTCTATTATTTCAGAAATTCGAGCCTATTTAAAAGAAGATCAGAGAGATTGGGATAAGAATGTAGCTGCGATTAGTTGTAGTTTAAGAAACTCTCTACATCAGAGTATTAAAGTGATAACGCATGGATCAGAGTATGAACTACTTCGAAAATTGAATCTTTTGGAGGAGTCTGTGTGTCCTCTCAGAAGAGAAGATAAATTGGTCTTATTAAGAGCAGACATTAAGAAAAATATTAAAACAGCTTATGAGAACCAGGCCAAGCAGTATAACCTGCGCGCTAAGGAAGTGAGTTATCGCGTAGGGCAGGAAGTTTTTCGAAGGAACTTTGTACAGAGTACAACCAGACCTGAACAGAGCCTGTCGTTTTAAAACAAAGAACTCACGCGAATAAAACCAAAAAAGATATGCAAAGCAAAAGACCTGACCATTAATTTGAATCGCAAAGTATTGAAGGCATCCGTGGACAATTTTAATGAATTCCCGGTATTAATTGTGGCAAAAGTTACATAGATTTCGGCCAGGTAAATATAGAGTGGAAAGAATTTCAAAGAAAACACATGGATTTTCAAAAATGTATTCTCCAATAGTTTTTGGATGGCCAGGGCGTTTCCAACCAGTGTTTTTGTTTACAACGAGCAACACAAGGAGACGGAAAAATTACGGTTCTACAGAAAAGATCAGTTTTCGTCAAGGGCAGGAAAACCCTAGAAAAGTGGCTAAGCTCCCCGACGCAACATTCTTTGGCAGACCAGCAGCCGCGAATTTTGCGCAGTCCGGGTCTGTTTGATTGTCAGGAGCGGGTGGGCGGGGTCAACGACCGGAGCAGAACGGCGGGAGAAAGAAATTCTGCAGACCAACAAGAAAGAAAGCAGAGCACAGGCGAGGGCATGCCGGCAGAATTTTGCTACTTCAGTTCGATTTCAAGAATGCAGTGGAATTTCGGTTTAACTAAACTTTAAATCCTTTTAAAGTTAAAATATCGAAAACCAAAAACAAATTCAAGATCACAAACACATTCACAGCCGGATCAAAAAGGAACAAGGGAAAATTAACTGTAACATGCAAACTGTGTGCAAGAAGATCCGAAATGACTTGTGAAACAACCAAAACAACAATGTAACACGACACAAATACTCTATTGTGAGGGAGCGTACGCTCCACCCACATTTTTCCGCCCATCAACTCGCCGGCATAGTCCCATCGGAGGGACCCGGACCTACCTTATTTGAATTAAGATTTTTGACTTTCTTCGTTCTCTACGTTTCAGGATTGACTTTTCAGTTTTAGGTTAAGGGGGAAGGCCACGAAGGCTACATGGTATTAATTTTATATATTATACGGCCCGAGGGGTCTCTAAGCCCCACGTAGCTTATTATTTTCTTTAAAGGGGGGGCAAGTCGCGATCACGGAGGACGCCACTGGCTTTGCAGAACCAAACCCAACAACAACGACGCAGCAACGGCCAAAGGGAGACGAGGAAAACACCGAGAACCAAACCCAACAACAACGACGCAGCAGCAGTCAAAGAGAGAGAGGAATACACCAAGAATCGAAACCCAACGGCACCGACACAGCAACGGGACGGAATACACCAAGAACCGAAACCCAACGGCACCGACACAGAAACGGGGAGGAATACACCAAAAAGCAAAACCCAACGACAACAACGCAGCGGAAGCCAAAGAGAGAGAGAAATACACCAAGAGCCGAAACGGTAGCCAACAGCATCAATTCAGCGACAGCCGAAGATGAGAAGCGCCGAAAAGATAAGCCGCCAGCGTCGACGCAGCAACGAAGCGCCGAAACGGTAAGCCCACAGCAGCAACGGCAGAAGAGAAACGCGGAAAACCAAAACCGAGTAACGACGCGCCAGCAGGGAAAAGAGAGACAAAAGTCACCGGCGCAGCGTAGACGCCGAACGACGGCGCCAGCCCTCTGCCGCCGCGAGAATGACGACGCTAGCCGCTGACGCTGGATCGGCAAGGCCAGTAGAACGCCGGCTCTGAGCTGGAAAAAACGTGGAAGGAGAAAAAATTCGATTGGGAGCAGTCGTAGGAGTCGGACGTGTTCGCGGAAAAAATTCGAGTGGCTTGGAAAAAGCGAAACACGTGGCGGACCGGATCCACGCCAACGCGATCTGTGACACGAGGAAGATCCTGCATCGACGCTGCGCTTACGGGGAGAAGACCCTGCATCGGTACTACACTTACGGAGAGGAGATCCTGCATCTACGCTGCACCCACGGGGAAGAGGAGGCTTTCGACGAGTACAAGCGTGGGAGTTCATGGGTAAGCGAGTCTCTAGACGTGTATACGGGCTGCTGAGCGGTGCGATAGGTAGGGAACTAAGAAAGAATAAAGTGAAATGTAACAAATATAACATAAACATAGCCTGAATACCAACAATCTATACACTAGGGAACCTGGAGGCCCGGGGCTTCATCTGCTCTTCCCTTCCTCACGCCTCTTGCCCGAGTCTGTGTGATTCCATTCAGTAGTTCGTAGCCCGACAGGATCCTGAGGCCGCTGTCCGGCGATTGCCTAGGCGTTCTCGGTGACACCTGTCGGCGTTCCCTCCGCATGATTCCCTCCAGTAGTTTGTGACCCCGCAGGGTCCCGAGGCCGCTATCCGACGGTCGTCTAAGCGCTCCCGGTGACGCCTGTTGGTGTCTCGCCTGAACTCCGTAGTTCCCTGGGTCCCGAAGGGGCTATTGCCTAAGCCCTCTCGGCGATACCTTGCCTGTATAATAAAGACTTTCGCAGTAATGTTTCGCCCGATAGTGTCCCGTAAGTGCTATCCGGCGATTGCCTAGGCACTCTCGGCGATATGCGTCGGTATTCCCGTATTCGTAGTAATTCTTAGTTCGGCGGTGTCCCGTAAGTGCTATCCGGCGATTGCCTACAAAAAATCGTAGTTCTCTTTCGTAGTGATCAGACGTGTTTTTGTTTTGCGCTCCGCATTTTTTCCTTTTGTTTTGAATAAACAGCCGGTGTTTTCCTAACTAAATTCTAATTAAACTTTCTAACCAGACAACAATCTGGAATCCTATTCTATTACGCGAGTGCATGCCTTTTGATTTGTGTTAAAACATTATTTAACTTTTTATTTTTCGGCGTCGGCTTGTCGTGTTTTTGTTATTGCAGTGAGTCAGTACGCATTACATTGCATTGCAGTCCGCTCTCGTCTGGTAGCTTTTGTTGTTTTATAACTCTCTCGCTATCACCTCAACTTCAATAACTGTTATTTCTCTCTCGCTCTTTAAACTTTCTGAGCAATAGCGCTCTCTGCTTAGTAGCTCTCGCTATAACCGCTCTCCACTCTGCTCTATTTTTTTTACCAATTCCGCTTTGAGCGTTGTCTGGCACATTGGACTGATACCAATTTGTTTTGCAAATAATAGTAAATAAATAATAATAAAATGGAATACGCTGTGGTCTGTGCCAAAAAAACCTGTAAGAAGCAGATCACCCACGATCAGCCGAATGTCCCCTGCTGGCTCTGCGACAGCGTAGTGCACGCAAAATGCGCTGGATTTTCTGGCCTCGTGAGTGATGCTATAGCCAAACGTAATGGCTTGCATAACAGTTGCGAGGCATGACGTGCGGTGGAGAAAGACATGGTAGCTTTTATGAGGCAGACGCGGAGTGGCTGTAAGGAGCTGACCGTTGGTTTTAAAAACCAATACGATCGGCTCCTAGCCATGGAGGCTCAGTTTAGCGGTTTAAAACTGCTGAATGAGTCTCCGAGGCGCAAAAAGGTCACTCCGCGGGATCTGCAAGTGCCAACCGTCACTCAGCCGTGCGCCGCCGAAAAACTGACTCCGACCACTCCAAGTGTGCAGCAGTTGATCTCGTTTGCCACTCCAAAGGCAACGACAGCTGCTGGCGATGCAGATTCGGTAGCCGAATTCATCGCCTCGGAGAATGTGCAGCCAAGTACGTCTGCAGCGTCCGTGTCCGTGGTGTCCGCAAGTTCGCTAGTTGTCCCGTCTATCCCGATCCCACCAGTAAATAGACGTTCCGGACCTACGGATATTGCCACCACAGGTACTAGACCTGTGGTGACTAAACCACTGGAGGAGGGAGTCCCACCAAAACGAAAAGTTTTTGTTTCACGGCTGGCCCCTGACCTCACATCTAATGATGTAATTGCTTTTATTCAAAGCAAAATAAAAGCCGTGGGTTTAAAGGCGGAGAAATTTAACTTCTCTTATGCCAGGGAGATAGCCTCGTTTAAGATAAGCATCTCCCCAACTCAATTTGACACCATTTGCTCCACCAAATTTTGGCCGGAGCATTTGGTGGTGAAGGAGTTTAAGGCCCCCATATCCCATACAAATCTTTCCAGTGTGCCACCCTCAACCTCAACTTCCTCTTCCTCAACTTCCCGTTTTGCTTCCACCTTTCCAAAAAACTAACTTCTCTTTTAGCAACCTATCAGAATGTAAGAGGCTTGCGTAGTAAGCTCAGCATTCTTTTCCGGGATAGTGTTGCATTTGCTTCCTACGTTATTGTGTTTACTGAAACCTGGTTAAAGCCGGACATTCATAGTTCCGAGGTTTTGGCAGGTCGGTACACAACTTTTAGAAAGGACCGTTCGTCTCGACGTGCAGGAGGGGTTCTAATTGCAGTGGACTCTAACTTCACGTCAGAACACTTCACAGTCCAAGTTCAACAGGAACTGGAATTCCTGTTTGTAAAACTGATTCTTCCCGCTTTCGCTATATTCATTACTTGCTCGTATATCCCACCTTCTTCGGATATTTCAATTTATGAGCAGCACTTGTCCGCTTTAACCGCTGTTTCTTCCTCGCTATCTGATAAAGATCGTATGATAGTTCTTGGTGACTTCAACTTGCCAGGAACTGTTTGGTCTTCGGTAAACGAGTCTAGTATCCTAGTGCCCATGTCACGACATGACTTTGTTGACGGCTTGCTTGACCTGTCCCTGTCTCAAGTCAATCATGTGAAAAATTCCTTGGGTCGATTGCTTGATCTATGCTTTGTATCGGATCCGACCATAGTGTTGTTAGACCGAGCCCTTCCGCTCACTATACCTGAAGACGCCTACCACCCTACCTTCGAGTTGTCGCTAGATATAGGACCAACTGTATTGGATCGGTCGAGTAGACTCCCTGAACGTGTCCGCTGCTTTCGTAAAGCCGAGTTTGCGAAGTTTAATAACCTAATTAGGGATTTTGATTGGTCCGCTTTGTACTTGTGCACTGATGTCACAAAAGGCACAAACATTTTTTAAAATGATCTTGGCACATTTTTTGATTCTTGTGTCCCGCTTTCTTGTCCGATTAGATCTGGAAAACCCCCTTGGTTTACCAAAGAGTTATCCAGTCTAAAAAAACTTAAAATCAAGACTTTATAAAAAATTTCAAGAAGTGGGCTCTCCTACTTCTCACTCTCGTTATGTAATAGCTCGGTCAAACTTTTCAGTTCTTAATGCTCAATGCTATAAGAACTACCTATCTCGTTGCAGGATACGTTTTTCTCAGGACCCTAAACAGTTTTACTGCTTCGTAAACAGTAAGCGTAGAACGTCCGCACACCCATCCTCGCTATCATTTTGTAATACGTCGGCAAATAATGATCAGGCAATTTCCGATCTTTTTGCCCAGTTTTTCCAAACCACCTATTCTGAGGAAAGCTACTCTGGTCAACCGTACCCATACGGATTACCGAGGTCGAACGGCATTTTCAGTCCCTTGTTAAATGAATATCCCTACTTCATGATCTTCGACTAGACGAGGGTTCCAGGTTGTGTACTCAGGTACTGCGCCGAGGCTCTGTGTGGACCATTGCTTAAACTATTCACCCTGTCCATTGATTCCTCTTACTTCCCCCCAATCTGAAAGGAATCGTTTATAATTCCTCTCCATAAAAAAGGTAGCAAGTCTGATGCAAAAAATTATAGAGGTATAGCAAAGTTATCCGCTATTCCCAAATTGTTTGAGAATGTTTTAACTCCGCACTTGCAACATCTCTGCAAGTCACTTATATCTCCAACTCAGCATGGATTTATAAGGCGGCGATCAACCACCACGAACTTGTTAGAGTTTACCTCTTTCATTATTAAAGGCTTTCAAGGTAACTTACAGACGGATGTTATTTACACCGACTTTAGTAAAGCATTCGACTCTGTAAACCATTCCCTTTTAGCACATAAACTTGACCTTTTAGGGTTTCCGCCCAACCTCCTGAGATGGATTTCTAGCTATCTTTGTTCTAGGTCTCAAAGAGTCCTCTTCAAAAACTCCCTCTCTTTACCAGTAAAGGTTTCTTCGGGAGTACCACAGGGCAGCCATCTAGGCCCCTTACTCTTCACACTCTTTTTAATGACTTGCCTTCAGTATTAACATACTCTCGAGTACTTATGTATGCGTATGATGTTAAACTCTGTGTCCAGTACAAGGACATTTCATTTCATTCTCGCTTGCAATCCGATCTCAATAACTTTCAGTCATGGTGTTGTGCAAACTTGTTACACCTTAATGCCTCGAAATGCAAAGTTATGACATTTCTTCGTTCTAGCCCCTTGTTGGCTCCGTATTTGGTGGTTCTCTTGAGAGAATTACCCTGTTGGATGATCTATGTGTTATGTTAGACCCCAAGTTAAATTTTTCTGAACACATTCCTACCATGGTAAATGAGGCCATGGGTTTATAAAGAGGTGGTCAAAGGAATTTGACGACCCCTATATAACAAAGACTCTCTATACCTCGCTTGTTCGTCCGATCTGAGAATACGGCTCCTGTGTATGGTGCCCTCAGTACAAAGTACACCAGGACCGTATAGAATCAGTACAGAAAAACTTTTTACTCTTTGTTCTGCGGGGCCTTAACTAAGACTAGTAGACTACTATTAGTTAACCTCCCATCCTTAGTTAACCGTAGAAAAATGCTTGGTGTGATATTTATGCACAACTTGATCAGGGGTGACATAGACAGCCCTGATCTGTTGAGCATAAACTTCACGATTCCTATTAGACTGACTAGAAGTTTTATACCGTTGTTCCTTCCACTTTTTAGATCGAATTATTCCTTGCATGAACCGTTTAGGGTCTTATGCACGGATTATAATTCCCTCTACCATATTATATCCAACACTAATTCTCTTCCTCTTATTAAATTATTAATCCCTACACACCTTTCTATTAATTAGTAACTGTAGTGGTATTTGTATTTTGATTGCATGCTTAGTTTCTTAGTAAGTTTAGTGCTAATTTTCCTCGAATGTTAGTCTAATAGCTATCTTTCTTGCATGTTCGCGTTTGGTTC